CACTCCTTAAAATTACAAACCCAGATGCTTGGCACTCTCTCTCTTCTCTGCTTGCTTCTCTTTTTTTTTTTTTTTTTTTTGATACCGGGGATCGAACTCGGGTCCTTGCGCTTGCGAGGCAGGCGGCAGAACCACTGAGCTAAATCCCTGGCCCTTGCTTCTCTTAATATATGTTGTATTGTCTGCCTTGCCCTCCTCTGCTCCCCAGTAGGTGAGCTCATTCCTCCATCGCCTGGCACACAGCAGATATCCACCAAACACTTGTGGAATGGACGGATGCAGAGGATGAATACCTGTATCTTCAGCACCTCCCAGTCATCTGAAAGCTTGGGGCCACAGGAGGCCTAGCTGAGCGCTAGTCTTTCTCCATCCCCGCACCCCTAGCCCCTTCAAAGCCTCACCTTCTCTCAGGTATAGTCCAGCGCTTTTCCCCCAGAAACCACACCTGTGCTGGAAAGCAGGGAAGCACCGGGGCAACAGGTGCTTGTTGCTTGGATGTCACAATTCCCAGACCACCAGGTATAAAATTCTGCAGAGTGCTAATGTTTTAATTTAGCCTCCTGATAGCTCACCAACAGAGGAGGTGAGAGATGGGTTAGGACTAAACATACTACTTAACCTAGATAACAGGACTGACTTGGTAACAGCAGCTCATTTTGCTTTGAGGTGTTTTCCAAGAGCAGCACTAAATTTGTCCTTGTTCATTTAGCTGCCCACCCCCAACTTCTTATTACAGATTTACAACATATACAAAAGCAGAAACCTATTATAATGAATCTCATATATGCATTGCTCAACTTCAGCAATTTCTAACATTTTGCCAGTCATTTCTTCCATTCTCTGATCCTCTCTGCCCCTCAGAACAATTTCACCTTTCAGTTTTCTTGGGAACAGGTCTATATAAGACAGACCAGCACTTGTGTTATAACTGCAGTCTACCAGCCAATCTCACTATTGATACCAAGAACATAGGGAAAACACACACAAACCCATTCCCCCACCAGAACAATGACTAAAAAAGGAAGCGCCTAAATTCCAGACTGTCTAAATCAAAGGACTTGCCCATTATTCCCTGGGAGGGCATTGGGGAAAGAGGTTGTGGTCACAAAACGTACTCATGAGCTGTTTTGACTTGTTTGTACATGATACAGAATTTCTAAGTGAGATAATTCAATTGAGGAAGAATTTACTATCTTCTAAATATGAGAGGCAGGAATAAGACTACAGAAAATAAAGAAAACCCAGCCTCTGTTGAAGAAGTTACAGAGTAGCTGCGGAGAAAAGTACACAGATAACTGAACCATACTGTAGAATATGTTCTGTGCCGAGAGAGATGACACGGCTAGGCTAGCTGCTCCTTTTTGGTTTTTTTTTTTTTGGTACCGGGGATTGAACTCAGGACCTTTTGCTTTCCAGGCAGGCAGCAGAACCACTGAGGTAAAGCCCCTTTTTAGATGCTCCTTTTTAAACTGCATCCCCACATACATAATTTGTAGACCCTGCGGTACACCTCTTCCCTAACTGTAGTTTCCCCTCCTGCTGTCTTTATTGCTGTAGCAGTAAGTCCATTATAGGAGACTTGGGAATTTGGTGAGCACAAAACAGGCTTTCAGATGTGGATCTTTAATGTCACATTGGCTACTCACCACCTAGCTTCCGGTGGGAGGGGAGTGGGAAGTCCTGCTAGGCCTCGGGAAACAATGGGGCTGATTCAATGCTGGGGAAGGCTGACATTCAAAAGGATTCTACCCCAAGGGCATATAGGATAAGCAGCTTCCCAAACAGGACAGGACACAGCCAGGTGAGTCCTGAAGGATTTCCAAGAGCTCTCTCTTTGCTACCTAAAGAACCAAGATCTTGGTGATCAGTTTCCAGAGAAGAATGTACTGCAGTTCTTTGGAAAAGCCAAAGAGGCTGATGAAGTTTGGTGTGAAGGACAAAGTGCATTAAAACTGGTGAGATATGGGCCGGGGACTTAGCTCAGTGGTTTCACTGCCTGCTGCACAAGCGCAAGGACCCGAGTTCGATCCCTGGTACCAAAAAAAACACCCAAAAAACAAAATAAAACTGGTGAGATAAAAATCTGTATAATCAACATTCACTAATAAATAAAGATGTGACACAGGATCGGTGAGGGGAGTGGGTGGTTAGGGAGGCTAAAGAGAGGGAAGAAGGAAGGAGAGGGTGCTATGAAAATGAGAATTTTGGGTTGAAAAGGTGATTCTTGATGAAAATAGAGGAAGATCCCAAGAGATCAGGATATTGGGCAGGGGTGTGCTGAGACAAGCTCTCAGAAAGGGAGATACCGGTTACAACAGATGGCTCCATGCTGGCATGGAGGGGGCTCACTTCACTGAAACTGGGCAATAAGGGGGTCACTGGATGAAGGGGTACTCAGAGGAGGGTTACAAGGAACCAGATGTGGCTAAGGACAGTAGAAGAGGAAGGAGAAGCCAGAACACTGATACTAAAACCAGGAAGAGATCACAGGAAGACAGACAGGGATTAAGGGTCTTACAGTATATGGATTTGGGGGGGGGTGGGGGGAGTAGGGGTAAAGTCCCAGTGTGGCGGGAGACATTTTGAGGTGAGATCATGGGGCAGAGGCTGGGAATTCCAAGAACTCCTGTTTGGGCAAAGGATGTGGAGAAGTAATAAGTAAGATTCACTGGGTTCAGGACACACTAGTTCAAAACATGGCAGTGTGAGAAAATGACAGAAGCAGAAAGGTCACTGTCACCTCTCCTCTGAAGCAGGTGATAAAACCTTCATGTGATAGGTGCCCTACTCCCTGAAGAGGAGTCCTTATTTTATTTTTTTGTACCGAGGATCGAACTCAGGTCCTTGTGCTTGCGCAGCAGGCGGCGAAACCACTGAGCTAAGTACCTGGCCCTCAGGTCCTTATTTTTGAAGACAGATTAGGGAAGAACCTGAACAGGGTGTGCTGTTTCCCCCATTTATCACCACTAGATCACATCCTTTTGGCCTTATTGTCTTCCTCCACAACTATTTACTCTTCAAACTTAGCATTATAACACACAGGTTTAACCTTTTCTTTAGGTCTTATTTATTAAAGGATCCTGTGCGGCATAAACATTATAGTAAGTACATCTGTCTTTTTCTCTTGATTTGCCTTTTTTGTTTAGGGACCTCAGCTATAAACTTAATATATTTTCCCTCTTGTACAAGGTGCAGGGGTCTTAGGGCTTAATGGGCCAAAAGGCATGAATAGGATGAGAATCACCACGTGGGGCAAAGGGTCCTAGAAACCCTGGGGATCACAGAATGTTGATGTTGAGTTTAAGAATTACTAGAAAATAAGAAACACGGGGCTGAAGTTGATTTGAAAAACCAGGTAGATCCAGGGATAAAGGGTAAGAGAAACAATGAAGATTCATTTGTTTGTTTTGAAGACTAGGCTCAAATCCCAGCTGTTCTAGTAGCTGTATGAGTTTTGGGTTTATTTAAAACCAAGCCAGAAAAGGTGGGAGGGACAGTGGTGGACATAATAATTACCTCTTGGGCTTGCTGAAAGGTAAACTTGTACATTCAAAGCTTGGAATACAGTAGGTGGTCAGTAAACCAATCATTAAGGCAGTATCAAGGGAAACAACCAAAGAGGCAAGAATGCTTCAGTAGAGATAAGGATGGGGATTTCCAGATGTCAGCAGTTGTGCAAGGTATGGGTCTCCGGTTCTTTGTGGGATCCTTAGAATCTAGGACAGAGTAAGACCTATAGGAGCTCCCAGGTTAAAAAAAAAAGACTCCCCAGGTGCCAAGTGCTCTGCTTGTGTTATTCCAGGCACCACTGTCCACCATCTCTTAGGAGAAGGCTTCAGACAGGCTAACGGGTATGCCAAAGTCCCATGGCTGAAGGGTCAGTTAGACTGGAACCTAGGTTTCTGACATCAACACCCCAAGCTGAAGCACTCTAATACTGCTTTGCAAACATGTCAACCAAGAGTCCTGATCAAGAGTAATGAGTTTGGGCAATTCAGAGTGCAGGGGTCACATGAATGAGGGAGAAAACTTTATGAAGCAAGTGGACCCTGGGTTGAGGTTATGAGCCTGAACTTCTAGAGTGGAGAACAAAAATGATTGCAAACCATTACTATCTTGACTGAGAATTGCAGAATTTCACATTTCACAGTTGGAAGGAAACTCTGAGATCATCTAGCCCAACCTTATCACAATTCTGATGAGAAACTGAGGCACGGAGTGAGAAAGGGGCTTCGGCCAGGTTCCCTAAAGCAGAGCCACGACTTGAACTTGAGACTCCAGAATTCTCTGATGTCTCCAATTACTGCTTCTTCGCATTCATCTCTATATTCTCAGCGCCAGAAGGAGGCTGGACACTTATAAATCACAGTGCTAACTGACACTAGAGGGCTGAGAGAACAGAGTGACGCCGGCGGGGCGATTTTAGGATGAAGGGAGAACATGGAATTGAAGATCATGGGATTACAGGACACAGATACTGAGTGTTATGTAGATGAGTAGGTGGGAAACTACTGAAGTGTGGCTTAGGAGTTACCAGGAGCGGTTTCAAGGGGAAGTACTAAGTTTGTGGAGGACACAGGGTAGAGTTTGGGGGTCACTAGAGGAATGCGGGGATCTTGGGTCCTTGTGAGTCACTGATTCGAAGTGAGGGAGTCACTGGGTTGGTAGGTCTTTGAGAAGTGCTGGGGTTGGCGATCAGAGCAAGAATTAAGGGTTACCTGTGAGGTATGGGGCCGGCGGGTGAGGTGTAAGGGTCACTGAGGTGGAGACAGGCAGTCAAGAGGTGGGTTTGGGAGGTGGGGGAGGAGTCGCAGGGCAAGGGAATTGAAGGGGCAAGGACCCTGCGTGGGGTAGGGGCCAGGCCGCCGTCCAGAGGCCCGGCCGCGGGGCTGGGGCCGGAGAAGGGTGGGCACGACGGGCTCGGGAACTTCCCAGGGCCCTGCGCCCGCCCGGCCTCCCGCTCTGGGAACGGTGGACCCACTCTTCCCGCAGCCACCAACCTGACAGCCCCCGAGGGCGACTCCGCCGACAGACCGCCATGCACCGGGCCCCGCCACCAGCGCCGGCCGGCCCCGCAAACCGCCTGCGCCATAGCCCGCCCGCCCGCGCGCGGCTTGCCTCGCGCGATATCCAGGTTCCAGGGCCGCCGCACTTCCCTCTGCTCTCGGTGCGTCTTCGCCGGGCCCCAGAACCCGTGTAGGAAATACTGAGCACGCTCCACCCCACAACCCCCCTTCGCCGCGGCGCCTGTCCCACTTATCCCGGTTCCGGGGCCCCTGGAGCCTGGGCGACCCGGCTCCGAACCGGCTGAGCCCCACGGTGCCCCGCCCCCAGGTCCGGCTGACGCAGGCCTGCGAGGCCGAGCGCCCGGGGAGGGCGTGATGGCGTCACAACGCGGGGCGGGGCCTGGGCGCGGGCGAAGAGCCCGTCGCTATAGCAACCGGGACAGCTACTTGAGGACTCCGGAGTTCCGTCCACCTGAGGCGGGAGCAGGGCGGCCCGGGATGTGGCCTCGTGCCTGAGGCCTGAGGGGCAAAGATTGTGAGGGACGCAGCACCCTGGCTTTGCCTGCCAACCTTGGAGCCAACTTCTGAAGGACGCAACTGCAGGTAATGGTAGCCAGTGTTGAAAAGGACGATGTGTAGGCGCGGTGAGGGACTCGCCCGTAGGTACGGCGCCCGGACGGGCCTGTCGGGTTCTCCCTTTCAAACTCCGCTCAGCACCGCTCGCAGCCTCAAAACCAGCCGCTCCCCTTGGTAGGCTTGCAACAGGTAGGCCAATCAAACCCTCCTATTATTGCCCGCTCCACGCAGGGAGGGGTCGCGAGTGGGGAATTTTCAGAAACAAACAAACCAACAAATAAGGAGAGTTAAAGAGCTGGTAAAGATTGCCTCTTAAAAGAGGAACTTGAGGGAACTTGAGGGAACTTGAGGGGGATCGGGGGATCGGGGATTTAGCTCAGTGGTTCCGCCGCCTGCCTCGCAAGGAGAAGGACCCGAGTTCGATCCCGGGTACCAAACAAAACAAAAAAAGGAACTTGAGGGCCGGGAATTTAGCTCAGTGGCAGCCTGCCTGCCTCGCAAGCTCAAGATCATGAGTTCGATCCTCGATACCAAAAAAAAACAAACCTGAAGCAGGTGCTTTGGCGCACGATATAATCCCCAGCACTCAAGTGAGGCAGACTGAGGCAAGAGCATCACAAATTCCAGTCCTGTCGAGGCAACTGAGCGCTAGCGACTTAGCAAGACTAGCTCTACAAAGAAAATTTTAAAAAGAATAAAAGAACTGGGTACCTGGAGGAATGAAGTGAAACTTTTCCCTTGCCATCCTTTCAAACTTTGATTATTTCTTTTGTATCCACCATCCTGTCCTCCGCCAAAATTTATTTATTTTTATTTTTTTGGCGGCATTGGGGATTAAACCCAGGGCCTTATGCTAAGCTACATCTCCAGACCTTTTGTTCACATTTACAAATTTTCAGACAATGTCTCGAGCATCTGACTCTGGAGTAACGAGGATTACAAGTGTGTGTCAGGGTGCCCAGCCTTTTTTTTTTTTCCACCTTTGGTTACGATTGAACCCAAGACCTTCCTCAGATGTTCCCCCAACCCTTTTTTATTTTTTATTTATTTAAAAAAATTTGGGGGGGGGGATTTAGCTCAGTGGTTCTGCCACCTTCTTCGCAAGTAGAAGGACCCGAGTTTGATCCCCGATACCAAAAAAAAATTTTTTTTAAATTTTGAGACAAGGTCTCAGTAAGTCACTAAGTTGTCCAGGCTGGCCTCGAATTTGGTGGTCCCCCTGACTCAGCCTCCCAGAGTGCTGGGATTACAGGTGTGCACCACAGTGCCCCGCTAAATTATAATTTTATATTTTTATTAATACATGTTTGTAGCAGATAGTGATTACAGACGTCATGGGGAGTTGGTACACATACATAGCACATCTTAATTTTTTTAATCCTCTTTCCCCCTACCCTCCAGTTTGGTTTTTTTTTGGTACCAGGGATCAAACTCAGGACCTTGCGCTTTTGAGGCAGGGAGCAGAATCACTGAGCTAAATCCCTGGCCCTAAAGGAAGTAAATTTGAAATATTTACAAATACTGCATTTGGGCAAACTCTTCTTTAATAGAAATTGTACAGATTCCCTTTCTTCTCAAATTCTTAATTCCATCCACTTCCTGTAAGTATATATAATTTACTAAACAACATAAATATATATGCATTTTTATAGCTCATGAATCCTAAAATGTATTATTTTTATGTACCTCTTAATGAGTAATATGATAAATATTACTTAACAGTAGACGGAAATAAAATATACTTCCAATTCTCTACAGAATGTTTTAATATTTTTAGACTTGAGTGTTGAGAAACCTTGTTCACATAATTAGGAAAGGAAGATGTATTTTACAATGATATTCTTTAAGTCTTTGAATGTCCAAATTATATCGCAACAGTTACAATGTGCTCTATTATCAAATACTGTCAAACAGGTTCTTCTTGGAGTTTATTAAAAGCAAAGAATTGGAAACCACTGAACTTGCAAAAGGATTTACTAGTCATTAGAATCTCAGCTTTAATTTTATGAAAAATGATTTTACCTGTTACCTTTTCACTAAGAGATACCTTGTTAAACAGATACTGTTGGGCCAGGGATTTAGCTCAGTGGTTCCGGCGCCTGCCTTGCAAGTGCAAGGTCCCGAGTTCGATCCCCGGTACCAAAAAAAAAAAAAACCCCCACACAAACAGATACTGTGTTCCATATTCCTTTGCCAATATATATATATTTTGTGTGTGTGTGTGGTGCTGGGTATTGAACCCAAGGCCTTTGGACTGAGCTACACCCTCAACCCTTTTTTTTTTCTTTTTTTAAATCTTGAGACAGTGTCCTACTAAATTGTTGAGTTGCTCCGGGCTGGGCTTGAATTTGCAATCCTGCCTCAGCTTCCCAGAGTGCTGGGATTACAAGTGTGCATGACCATCCCAGCCAATATAACCTTTTTTTACACATATAAAATTCTTTTATCATTACATTCTTTCAGGATCTTTTTCTTAAAAATTTGAAGTGCAGATTCAGACCATTCACTGTACAGAAAACATTTGCCAGGGCCGGGGATTTAGCTCAGTGGTTCCGTTGCCTGCCTCTAAAGCACAAGGCCCTGAGTTTGATCCCCTGTACCAAAAAAAGACCCCAAAAAACAAAAAACCACACAATGGGGCTGAGAAGCTAGAAAAACAACTTTATTGTTTGCTAGTAGGAAGTAAAATTAAACATTTTAAAAGATGAAATAACCAAGGGCAGCTGGATTGTCCCCCTTGTTGGGATCTCATCATGGGAACATCAGTTATAATCAGAAATTTCAGACTATGGATCTTGAACAGAGCTATTGTCTTCAAGCTATGATAGCCAAATATGCATTGCCTGGCATATAATAACTGTGGGATGAATGCACCTTTTTTCTTTATAGATGCTAGTAAGGGGAAGTTCAAGATTCTGGTAGGCCAGTCCAGTGTATTTTCTGATCAGATAGATTTTTCCTTGTTCCTCAAGTCATACTCTTAAATTGGTACATAATGTAGATATTAGATCCAATAAAATTTCATGTCAGTGATTTACATAATTCCATTAAGTTGCCTATCATCTCTGAGTCTAGAAATTGGTGCTGTTCCTTTATAAGAGATTAAAGACTGCTTTCCTATGCTCTGTAGGAATAGTGATGATGGTAGTAGCTGGATAATCTGTATTCTCTTTGGTGGCTAAGAATATATTACATAAAAGGAATACTGTGGGAAACCTTCAGTGCTAAAGGGGGGACATCTTAACCAGGGAAGTGTCTGAGCCACATGTGGCCTGGCCAGCTTTCTGGAACCATACTGTGATGGGGGAGAACAATACTCTAACTTTTCTTCACTCCTTAGATTCCCCTCTCAGGCAATGATTCTTTTATTTTTATTTTTTGGTACCAGGGAACGAACTTGGGACCTTGCGCTTGCGAGGCAGGCACCAAAACCACTGAGTTAGATCCCTGGCCCAGTGATTCTTCTTTTTTTTTTTTTTTTTTTTGGTACCGGGGATAGAACTCGGGTCCCTGCGCTTGAGCAGCAGGCGGTGAAACCACTGAGCTAAATCCCTGGCCTCTTCTTCTTCTTCTTTTTTTTTTTTGGTACAGGGATCAAACTCAGGATCTTGCACTTTCCAGGCATCAGGCAGGCACCGGAACCACGGAGCTAAATCCCCGGCTCAGGCTATGATTCTTGATACCGCTTTTAAAGGTAGCTAAAGAGGGGCCAGGGATTTAGCTCCGTGGTTCCACTGCCTGTCCTGTAAGTGCAAGGACCCAAGTTTGATCCCTGGTGCCAAAAAAAAAAAAAAGAGAGAGAGAGACAAGCCCTTTCAAATTCTAAAATCATTAGAAATAAAATGACTCACCAAAAAAATGTGGGTAAGCTTTATCTGGAAGCCAGAAGACACTTTATCCAAAAGGCTTTTTCTGGCTGTAGGGTAAGCTACTGAGATAGAAAAATAGATACCAGGCTGAAGAGTTTCATTTAGTATTTTAATAATAATAATAATAATAAAAAAGACAATACAAAATCCAAACATTTCTTTTTACAAGTTCAGATACATATTTTCCCCAAGTGCAAAATACTCTATGAACTGCATCATTTGCTGTTTAATGTTGGTTGTGTAGGAGATGCTTACTCTATTGCCAGCAGTGGAAGGCAGACATAAATACAATTTTTTGAGATTTCTGGGCAATTAAAAAAAAAACAGCCTCCCACATGGCGATATTATTCTCTGAAACTTCAGTTCAATTTACACAGAAGAACAAAGTTTTTAGTTTGTCCAAACTGCTAGTCGGTGTTGTCTAGATGAGCTGATAACAGTACTGGGGGTTCTATTTCCCTCTAATCATGTATTTTCTTAAGGAGTATTTCCTAGTCCAAATAATGGCCCAAGGACAGGCTGCACTACCTTTGAAACAGGTCAAATTGAAAGAAACCTTGGCGTTTGCTTCCATTTTTCTCTTACTATGCTGAAGAAAAAAACCAGGCAGGTATCATTTTCTGCTTATGGCCAGTTATACTTTTGTTTCTATCCACCTACTTTGAGGCTGTCATATTGAGGTAAAGCAGCAAATATAAACATCTGAACGCTCTGTAACATTCTCAGACATTGAGATGTGACCTCCTAATCCATTCCATAGACACTTCAAACGTGCCTATGGAGAACACTTCTGGGACATAAAAATGTTTCATTGGGGCCAAAGACCTGGACTGGAGTACTGACCTTTTGGCACAAATCTGAGTCTCCACAGCTTTGTACTGGCCAAGTCAGAGCAGAAACAGCTCAGGGACGAGCCTTTGGGGATTTCTAGGCTGGCAGTGGGCTGCTCAGGTCCAGGCTGTGGTCAGTTTTCTCCTGATTCTGAGAATTCCCTCAGATTTAGGGATGGGCCCGGTCTGATGACACCAACAGAGAAGTAAAGAGTTGCAGTGCTGCTAAGGATGTAAGTGCCTTTCTGATACACATCATTTGTGCTTGGGGCCCTTGAGGAAATGGTTTCCCATTCCCAGACTCAGATCAGGGAAAGTTTGGTACTAAAATGAAGGCCTCACAGTTCTGTGGCCCCACAAATACCCTATTCTGCAGGGAGGCTTCTGGGTCAGTTCGTGAAGGATTCCTATATATAGCTTCCCATTTTCCTTCACTGGTAAAAACTCCTGTCTGACCTGTAAATTCCTACAGAGTCCCTGAGTACTGACTCCTAGTGTGACACCTCAGGGTGTTTCCTCTTTAGGGTCAGCAGTAACTTTGCCTAGATTCTTAATCCCTAACTTGGATGACTTAAATGTGGTGGACGATAGCAGATCTGCCCCTGCTCACCAAGACCTGACTTGATGTCAGTTAAGAAACCCAGTAGTCTACAGATTCCATACTGTGGAATTCATTTGCAGGCCCCACAAACCAAGAAATAAGTGCCCGGAGGAAGTGTCTCTATGCGAATGTGTGGTGTGACGGAAAGGAAGGGAGCAAGGAGAAGCCAGACCCTGAAAGGCATCATTTGGGAAGCACCCCTACTGTTTGGCTTCCCAAGGCAGATGCGAAATGGAAGAGAGGAACTTAGTTTCAGGTAAGAAATTAGGATGATCAGAGTTGATTTAAGCAGTTTTCGTGGCACTTCCTGGGAAGTGCAAAGGCTCCTATGAAGTGATCATTTCCCTTGCTTGGGTACAGCTATTTAACATCTTTATGGTGTCCCTCTTTGACCAAGGGAGACAATGATAGCATACTCTCCATCCCCAGATGTCAGAGCATCTAACTGTGCCATCTACTACCCACTGCTAAGGCTCGTTTTGGCTGGTGAATGTTATTGACCAAGGCTGTTGTCCACAGCCTAAGGCCAGAGGTGGTTCCAGGTTCCTTTATTTAGTGTTGAATCTCCTGGGAGAACAGTAGTCTGGGAGAGTCACCTAAATCTGGACCTGAGGAGTCAGCTGATAGCCTTTGAGCAGGACTACAGCTCTAGGGAACTAGAAGGAGCAAATGGAAAAGAAATTTACAGGCGGCAATTGGATTAGGGTGGAGTGTATGCAGGATTTAGGTTTGGACTTGATTCTTCTTCCTTTGAAGCCAACTGTAAGGGGAACTGGCCAATGCCAGGCAAACATCTGGTCCCTTTTCAGCTTCGTGCCTGGGCAACTGTCCTACTCGTGGCTCCTGCAGCCGTGTCTGTGGCCTCAGGAGTCTGAGTCAGCCCATCACTGGGGATCTGTCCCAGTCTCCTTCCATGTGCACACTGGGGAAAATGTGATGAAGACAGGGAAAAGGTGGAGGTTTTCCCTTCTTGGAGTGGAGAATCACTGATCAAGTTCATCAGCCTCCGTAGTCATGAGGTTCATGCTGAATCCGTGGAGAGGCAAAGCAACAGCAGGATTGGTTTTGAAAACACATCCCTCTCCTTCCTGCTCCATCAAGTCCCCAGAATCCCTGTCCCACACATCAGATGCCTCTGAGCTGGAGCCCTGGGTTGGCCCAGCCGAGGGCCCTAGAGGTCTGAGTGGCCACAGATGAAACAGATCAGATGCTCCAGCGCTCAAGGTTCATGAGATTCAGAACTGATATTCTTCCATTCCATACATACACTCTTCTCTCTTGGACAGCTATAAATAGGGTTGTTCTAACAGAGAAAAAGGAAACAAAAACAAAAACCTCTCCCTCTAGACAACATAGAAAGACTCAAAATGATTGCACTTATTAGATGTGGACGGGGTGGGCAGGAGGCTCGCCAAGTGCACACATTCCTCTTGCTGCCCACAGCCGGAGGCCAGAGGTAGGTGGCTCCAGGCTAGCTGCAGAGCAGGGTCCTCTTTGGTGGCACCCACAAGCCACCTAGCACAACAAGGGACAGGTGACTGAGGGCTAAGGCCCAGGCTGGCTGCAGTCAGTAGCCAGGCTTCTAAGGGCAACACTTAGCAAGGGAGTAGGGCTCCCCCAGGGAGCATAGGGCGGGGTGAGGGCGTGGCTGGGCCTGGGGGGACAAGTAAGAAGAGGGATTCCTGTTTGAGGCTGGCTTCCAATTGTTCTGTCGTTTAGTCCTTCAGATGATACATTTCCTTTTCTTTCTTTTTTTCTTTTTTGGCAATGCTTTAAAACCTGTTTTCTGTCCTGCAGAGCTATAGTCTCAGGGAGCCATCGCGATGCACAGTAATGCTTGCTGCTTTTCCTCATTCAGAGGTGTCCACTAGCCCAGTGGTGTGGGCCATCTGTAAACCCTTATGGAGTCTACCCCAGGCAGACGTGTGGGGTTGGACAGAGAGGAGCTGTATAGCTAAGGAAGCCAGCTGAGTGGGCAGCCCAGGGCTCAAACCACGTGCCCCAGCAGACCAGTGGTGGCATTGAGCCAGAAGTCAAAGGCTTCTTTGGCAGAACCCTGGACTGTTAAGAGTCACCCTGGGGAGCACAGCCAGGGGACCTTTTGGCTCCTCACTAGCAAGGCACAACCCTACAATGGCAGAAGTCCCTCCTCCCCTTCCCCATTCTCTAGTGGACCCACTTCCTACGTGGGCCTTGAGTAGCCTTTCCAATGGATGGGGCAGGCGTGTGAGCTGGTGAGATGGGCGGGGGGGGGGCCAGTGCTGCCCTTCACCCTCGGGGAGGGGAGCCAGCACAGAATGGCTTTTCTGGGGGGCATCTAGGAAATCAGGAGGAGAGACCAAAAAAACAGAGAAACAAGAAAACTAGAAAGATAGAAAGGGAGAGTGCCTGGTCTGTGTAGTGATATCTTTCCTCCAAAAAGAAAGACAGGACTCGTTCCTTGTCGGAGGGTAGGGGCTGCCAGCTCTGAGGACTAAGGAGTCTCCGGGCTCCAGAAGCTGGGTCTCTGAGCCCAGGGGCACTATTTGTAGGGCCTCAGGAAGCTGGACACTTTGGAGCGGAGCAGCTTGATGAAGGACTTTGGTAGCATTTCCTTGTGCTTCTCTGTGTACTTGAAGTAGTTCTGGGGATGGGCCAGCACTTCAAAGAAGGCCTTGATGAGCTTCTTGTCCTGCAGGAGATGGCACGTGGCAATGTCAGCCTTGGTGTCAGGAGCAGGAAGGAGGAACAGCAGCCTCGATCCAGCAGCCCCTCTTGACATCCAGTGGCACCTCACACTGCATACCCCCAGAGCTGAACTCTGGACTCCCATCCTCACGGTCTGCTCCTCCTTTAGAATTCCACAAGTCCACAGCAGCTGCAGCCTTCTACTGCCCCACCCATCTGTGGAGCCATCTTTGACCCCAGACTCTTGTTTCACAGCTACAGCAAATCCTGCTGACTCAGCCTTCAGGATACAGCCAGGGTCTGACTGCTTCTCCCCGTTTCCATGACTACCACCCTGGGCCAAGCCCCATCATCCCTCACTTGCACATTGTAATAGCCTGACCCATCTCTGTGCTTCTGCCCTTGACCCTCCACAGGCTATTCTCCCCACAGCAGCCAGAGTGACTTTTGGGGTTTAATTAGCTCACTTTTTTCTTGTTTGCTTTTTTGGGACAAGATCTTAAACTCCTGGGCTTAAGCCATCCTCTCACCTCAGCCTCCCAAGTAGCTAGGCTCCAGGAATGTGCCATGGCACGTGGATGAGATCTATTCTTTTCTTTTCTTTGCAGGGGTAGGAATTAAAGCTGTGGTCTCATATAAGCATTTACTCTGTCACTGAGCTATTACCCTCTGCTCCTCTGGTTTCTTTTATCTCAGAGTAAAAGCCAAGTCCTTTGCATGGCACATTGGTTGCACGGAACCTCTGCCCTGCTCTCCCTTCCCCTGCAGAGCCACTCTGGGCTTTTTGAGGTTTCAAACATGCTCAACTCTCTCACGCTCGGTAGCATCTTCTAACGGGTGTCCCTGACCTCCTCAAGGGCTTTTCCTGGTCTCCATCTGTAACAGCAGAATGACGTGTGCAGTGCCAGGTGCCGTGCATTAGAACTCAGATCTCCTGGCTTCTGGACTGGGGCTCTTTCCACTGCATCTGAGGATTTGTAAAACAGGAGGCGGGGTTCCCAGCCTCTCACCCCTACTCTAATCAGAACAGCTGTACTACTTTATGCATTGGAGTTCCAGGGTATATTTGATTTGAAATAATGATTCAGGTGCTTAAAAAAAGTTTGAAAAGCATTGCCAGAATTATATGCTTTGAAGTCCGTAGGTTCTAGGAGATTTCTGTCATCATGGATTTTATTTTGATAATATGTAAATTCTGTTACTAATAATAAAAATAGATTTTTTTCCAGTGGTAATTTATGAAGGATAATTTTTTTTTTTTTGGTACCAGGGATCGAACTTGGGACCTTCCATTTGCGAGGCAGGCGGTGTAACCACTGAGCTAAATCCCCGGGCCCTATGAAGGATAATTTTCACTACAACTATAGTTTTGTTTTGTTTTGGTTCTGGGGCTTGAACTCGGGACATTGTGCTTGCGAGGCAGGCGGCGGCACCACCAAGCTAAATCCCCGGCCCGAACTATAGTTTCTTAAGTAGGATTTTCTCAAACTGGGGTCCACAGACCCAAAGTGTCTAGTTTATTCTTCAATATTGGAAATATTTTGTTTCTTTTAATTTCTTTTTCTTTTTAATTTTTTTTGACACAGGGTCTTGCTACGTAGCCCAGGCTGGCCTTGAACTCCCACTGATCCTTCTGTTTCAGCCCCAGCCCATTGAGTACTGGGATCACAGGCGTGCGCCACCATGCCTGCCTCCCTTCCTTTAAAAGACATCTAGATGGGCTGGGGATTTAGCTCAATGGTGCTACTGCCTGCCTCGAAAGCACAAGGTCCTGAGTTCAATCCCTGGTACCAAAAAAAAAGACATCTAGAGGCTGGCGATGTGGCTCAGTAGTAGAGTGTTTGTCTAGCATGCACAATGCCCTAGCTCTGTACAACCAAGTTAAAAAGATGTCTGTCCATAAATTGATGCTGAGACAGCTGTGCTAGTCTGCTGCTTCTCTGTGGGCTGGGGAGAGAGGAAGGGATGGAAAGGACTTCTGCCAAGAGCATTTTCTGTTCTTCAGTTCCCCAGTATCTCCCCAAGGTAAATATGGTATGGGTGACACTGTAGTCAGAAGACTGGACTCAAATCCTAGCTTTACCATGGGCAAGCTCTTTAACTCTGCCTGTTTTCTCATCTGGAATGATGAACGAAGCCACCTTCTGCATGTTCACACTGGCACTTAGCACGCAACCTGCGGTTACATGCCCATCACTGTTAACTGTCCTTGTTGTTAGTATTTACTTGCCTTTAAGATCTCCTGGTGGTTTTCAGAGGCATAGAGCCGGCCATCCCGAACGATGTCTTCTACCAGCTGCTCATAGTCCTCTGCAAAGGTGATCAAGGTGGGAGCTGGTGCCCAGGGACCAGAGCTCTTTCTGCTTCCCAGCTCCCTCCCACAACCTCTGAGCCTCCCTTCCTTAATCGCCTCCCCAGCTTTCCTGCCCTTGCTCACCATCATAGGTAACATAGGGAATCTGGAAGCCGCGGGCGCTGTTGGCCTCACTTGTCTTGAAATTGATCCAGAGCTTCCTGGACCGCGCCGTGAAAGCAATCGGGCGCTCATAGGTCTGGCAGGTCTCGTAAGTGGTAATGGAAGATGGGGAGGCTGGCGAGGCAAGTGGCAGGTTAAGAGGGCAGCAGGGCAGGCTACCCACGCCCTGCCCATGGAGGGCTGTGGAGTAGGGGAACGGGATTACTCTGACAGAGACCTCTCCCTCCACACACATGCGTAGCCCCAAAGCCCTCCCATTTCCTGGGTTCATTCTGCAGTTCCTCTGTGATGTTTGTGATATGTGTATGAAATCTGACATTTAATGAATTGGCAAAGTGCTAGGATTAGAAAGTGACACATGTAACAGCGCTGGACTCTAGCCCTAGGGCTGGCTTTCTTGACTGCTGCACCCTCCACTGCTGTTTCCTGTTAGCTTCCCTCCTCCTAAACTTCCTCAGCTTCTCTGCTCCCACTCTTCCTGTACCTAACTCTCTCCCTCCCAGCCAGATTCAGACTACCCTTCCCTGGCCCAGCTCTGCAGCCACCCACAGTTCTTTCTCATGACGAGGACGTCCCCACACTCGTCCTCAGATGGCAGGAAGATCTCGGGTACCACGATAAGGATCTTGCGCTTGGGTGGGGGATTGATGTTCCAGATGCACTCCACGCCAGCTGGGTAGTTGCCCGGGTAGTTCGGGGACTCGATGTAGCCAGTGAACTCACCTAGCTCCCCACCACACTGACGATCTGCAGCCAAGCCCCAGGGATAGAGCAAGAAAAAGAAGGAAAGTCAGTGGGGGAACCGGGATGGGGATATGGAAGAGTTCTGAAGTTGGAGATCAGATGTGTGGCAGCCACTATCCTGGTTCATCGTCTACTCTTCAAGTGCTGGGTCCACCTTCCTTCCTGTGCTTTTAGTGCCCTCTCTTCTCACTTTACCCATCTCTGCCTCCCCATTACTGGTTTCCAGGGAAAGGGTGCTACAGGGCTCAGCCTAACAACTGGCCTGGAGATTGAGTGGGGTGGGGAGAGGTGGGGGGTAGGACTTTCCCGCCTACCCACCCACCCTCCTCCGTGTGGGTTTATCACTTCCCTTTCTTTCTTTCCATGCCCATCGGTCCCAGGCCTCTACCCCTTTTCCACAGCTTGGCCTGCCACATACTCTTGCACTGGGCCACACTGGTGGAGCCATCAAAGTCAGTGCTGGTATTTCCTGGACAGCGGGTACAGAAGTTCTGACGGAAGTCAGGCTGATAGGAGCCCATGGCACAGCGGATACAGCGATGGATGCTGGTGTTGTAGTAGTGCCCCGGGGAGCACTGGACTGCAGGCAAGGAGGGAGAGGCAGGAGTCAGTGTGGCTGACAGATGGGCGTTCTGGGGACTTGTTCATCATGGTGAATCAGGGGGTCCAAGACTCCAAAGTTCTTTCCAGGGTCCCAGCCTTTCCTAGTCATGCTTAAGCCCAGGAAAAATAAACTTCACAAAGTGGCTATCTATGGTGCCAATCCTTTTCCTTCAGGCACCAAGCACAGTGCTGAACCAATACAGAAACCTTTGGGGTATGGAGGGGAATGTGCTGCCAGTTCTCCAAAGCTGGGGGAAAAGTGGGACTCTTAATTCATGATCCCCAGGGTTGGGCCTGGATGGCCAGAAGGGTCCTGGGAGCAGGATGGTGTGGTTGGTTAGGCAGCTGGGCCTTTCTCGCTTTGGGGGCAATAGCAGGAACATATTCAGCTTCCTCTGCAGACTTGGAGAGGGTTTTTTTTTAGAGCAATTGGGGTCAGAGAGTCCCCTAGTAGGGTATTTATTCACTCACCTTTGGTGTCACAGTCTTGGAAGGAGATGGCCCCCTCTTGCTTGGTAGTGAGGCCCCCACCACACGGGAAGCACAGGGTCCGTCCTGCTTCGGGTTGATAGGTGCCACGTGGGCATGGCTGGCAGGGCTTAAACCCATCTACGGAGTGTTGACCAGGTGGGCACTGACCTGCAATGAACCAAGGGCTCAACTCTGATGGGGATGGTCCCAAGTCACCTCCATGGGGTCACCCATTCTCAGGGGACAGAAGCATACAAAGAGGATGTCAACTACGAGTGGCCTGGAGCCTGGGCCTGCCCTCTGGGAAATCCCATGCCCATGGGCGTCCCAGTGCCCACCCTAGCCCACTCTGTATTGTTTGTTCCCCTGGCACCTGCACATGTGGTGACGTTGGTGGCTCCAAGAGGCCCGTGGGCATCACTCCCAGGGCAAAGGTCGCAGGAGAGCTGCCCTTCTCTCTCCTGGAAGGTGCCCGCTGGGCATGGCACACACTGCTCCGTCTGGCCGTGGTAATACGTTCCCTGCGGGCAGCTGACTGAGGGAGAGTCGGCCGTGCTAGCCACCCACCCCCATTCCCCACCCCCCGGCCTAGGACTGATCCCTTCCCGCTCCCCCAGACTCTGGGAGAGCCTCTCTGTTGGGAGTAAACTGAATTGTGCTTAGAGGGCAGGGAGGTCAAGTCTGTGTGCAGGAGGGTTGCTGGCCCTGCCTGGTAGCCTAGATTTCACCCTGGAACCAGGGAAGGGAGGACAACAAACAGGAGGGTCTTGGCGGCCTCGTAATTGGAGAAATGCATCTGAAGCCGTAAGGGTCCTGCTCTAAGCCAGGCCCGGGCTGGGCCTTCCCCACTCCTCTGCTCCCTGGCAAGCTCCCTTACCACACTTGGCCCCAGCACGGTGCTGCCCGGGCCTGCAGACCTCCACTAGCTCTGCTCGCTCCCCAGCTCCCAGGCCCGGCTTGTGGGCCAGCTCATAGTCAAGGCCGGCCAGGCGCAGCAGGAAGCGGTCTTGGTTGATGGACTTTCTGAGCATCTTCAGGGACCCTTTGAGTCGCCGTTCCATCCTCTGTCGTAGGCAGGGCAGCCCACAACCCGCTGGTGGTGGATGGCGGTGTATGTTGAGAAGAAGAGAAAGGAGAGTGGCATGAGCAACAGGGACAAGTCCTTGGGCCTGCATGACACAGCCTCTGTCCCTTGCCCAGGCTGCATCCCTTCCTTGGGCTGAGACCTGTGGTTTCTCCACCTCTGCCCTCTCCTTGGCCCTCCACCCAGCGGTGTCCCCAGTCCCACCTGTCGTTTCTTCAGCTCTGACCTCTGCTTCCAGTTCCAGGGAGAGCCGGGTGACCTCCTTGCCTGGAGGGGTCCGGGCCCGCCGGCCCTTGCCCTTCCGAGAGGAGTCACACTTGAGGTGGATGAAGGTGACCTGGCAGTCAGAGCAGGGGGCAGCACCTGGGGAGAGGCCTTGTCAACCCCAGGAGCACCACCGGGGACAGAGAAGTTTTCTCCCCCCGCCACCCGGGCAGACCTTACCGCACCTCTGACTAACTCCTCCTCCACCCTCTTTAGTTTAGGACACCGTTACATGGTCGGGGGACCATCCTGGGGCTTCCTACATCTGCTTTCCCCTGCTCTGTGTGGAGTTCCGGGTGCTGGAAGAAATCTCACTAAGCAGAGGAGCTGGTGGGCGGGGAGGGTCTGGTGGCCAAGTAGCCCATGGCAGTGAGGTCCCCAGTCCAGACCTGGCCCTGGGGTTCTGCTGGCCTCCTCCAGTTTGCCTTTGTTCCGCAGGTGCAAACGGCACTTGGCATCCTTGACCTTGAAGGAGGCTCGCTGCTTAACCGACAGCGCTGCAGCCTCTAGAGGGATGGCAGAAGCTCAGCGCAGCATGGGTCCCAGGGAGAGAGCTGCTGCGAGGGTGTGGTGGGGCTGGGCTGGAAAGTGGGGTTAGGAAAGCCCAGGGGCCGGAGGGTGAGGCAGAGGAACGAGGCAGCAGGGCTGGAGAATTACAGAGCAGTGGAGGAGACCCAGGAAAGCGTAAGGGCCAGGACTCAGGACAAAGCAAAGCAAAGGGTTAGTGTAGGACAGGAGGCTGGGAAGAGCACTCACCATGGCACTGGCTGGAGCTGGTGCTGTTCCCAGGGTGGCCGGCCCGGGCGGTGGCCCGAGGGCTGGGGCTGCCACAGCTCACCGTGAAGCCATTCTCGGACTCTGAGAGAAGGGGCCTGTCACTGCTCTGACTGCCCCCCAAAGCCTGCTGGCTGAGGAGTCCCAGGGAGCCAGAGGAGCTGCTGAGCAGCCCCCAGCCCTCCAGCACTGCCCTGCCATGTACCTGGCGAAAACCGGGCCCGGGAGGGGCAGGTCAGGGAACAGGTGTCCTTCTTGCCAGACCGGCTGCAGCTGAGCATGGCTTTGGAGGCACCAGGGTTGCCCGGACACTTCACTGGCTCTAGGAAGGGAGAGAGGCCTGAGGAGACAGGTGCATTGCTCTCCCACCCTCTCCTCAGTTGGTGAATGTGCAGGAAATCAGCTCCACGCAGAACTACTGCTGTGCCTCGGACACTGACGAGGGGAATATTTACCAGGAGAGCCACAGGTCTATCTCAGATGGCTACATGCTCCCCGTTTCCCCCTCACCCCTTCCCAGTCCCAAAGCACCCCTGAAGCTGCAGTGCCAGGTCTGGCCAGCAGAGCGCGCCGCGCACCTGTGCAGTCCTTGCCGTTCCAGTGCAGCCGGCCCTGGCCCGAGGGGCAGGTACATTGGTAGCTGCCAGGAGTGTTGATGCAGCCAAAGCGGCAGCCTCCCCGGTTGATGCTGCATTCGTCCACATCTGGGGGAAGGAGATGGCAGACAGACAATGGTGGGGCAGGCGCCAGGGAGTGGGGACTTAGTTCAAGGCACCCTGGTTAGGCACGAGGGGTGAGTTCTAGGGATCCATACGATACTATGGTTGTAATTAATACTGTGCTGCCTGCCAGTCGGGCTGCCATTTGGAAGGCGGGTGAGGGGCCAGGGTGGCTGGAGGGCGCACCCCTGCTGACCTACCCCCACAGTGGGTGACACCATATAGCAGGTAACCACGATGGCAGAGGCACTGGAAGCTTCCTGGGGTGTTGACACACATGTGGTCACAGGTCCGGTCAAAGGAACACTCGTCAATATCTGGAAGAGCAAGAATTCAGGCAACGGAATCTGCCTTGGGGCACCTGACCCTGGCTGAGGTAAAGGGGCCCTTGGCTCGCTCCTCTTTGAGTTCAGAATGATTCTAGTCATGAACTGGCTCCCAGTCAGTGGCTGAGCAATGCCAGCCCACCCTCTCTGTGCCCTCCACTTGGAGGATGGGGCACCACGTGTGGGCAGGCAGGCACTCTGTCAAGGACACGCATGGGGTGAAATCTGTCCCTCCCTCCTTGCCACACTGTATGTGCCAGTGTGGAGCCAGTCCTGCCTGCAGCACAACTCTGCCTGCAGACTGCACAGTGTCTACCGAGTGTCTCAGATGCTGGCCTCCCCGAAGCTCCCCTCCGCCACCAAGAACCTCTCCTAAGCCTTTCCCCTTGGCCCGGGTCTGCTCACCCTGGCAGTTCCTCTCATTGATGAGAAGCTTATAGCCTTTCTTGCAGCTGCATTCGAAGCTGCCCACTGTGTTCCTGCAAATGTGGTCACAGCCCCCATTGTTCAGGCGGCACTCGTCTATGTCTGGGAAAAAAGGACAAAATAGAGTCAAAGATAGTATCGAAGAACAGGAAACACAAACAAGGAGCCAAGATCCCTTCCTCACAGGGACAAGCAAAACCACAGAGGGCCCTGGGCCTGCCCCTTCTGAGCCCTCTGCCACTCAGGTGGCCCCGTTTCTTCCCTGCTCAGGGGATCTGCGGCCACTGGTAACACCTTCTCTTCTGGGACCGAGTCCCAGGAGCCAGGCTCAGGCCATCAAGGAACTCCCTGGAGCAGGGAGCAGGTAGGCATCTGACCTGCAGGACAGGCTGTGCCCCTTACTCTCCAGCTGACATCCATTCCCAAGAGGGCTGCTGGGTAGAGTTGTCCCCTTCCTGTCCCCAAGCCCTGGCATGAGGGTCCTGTCAAGAGGGCTGCATGGGGCCGTGGAGAGGTGGAGAGTGGAAGTGACTCAGTGGAGAGGGCCAGCCTTCAGGGAGGAGCTGGGAAAGAGGCCAGACAGGGAGGACTTCCAGGAGAGCCAGTGAGGCTGGGTCGCTGAGGGGGGAGGACGGGGCCAGTCCGGGGCCTGGACGGGAGAGGTCTGGAGAGACTCAGGCCTGAGGCAGCTTTCAGCATGGAGAGGGAAGGGGGGCAGGCAAGCAGCTTCCTTCCTGAGGTCAAGTTCCCCAAGCTGGTGGCAGACAGGACCCAGGCTACTCGGCCCTCCTGCCCTCCACTTCACTCTTAGCTACCTGTCAACAGTCCTTCCCAGCAGGAAACCTCTGCACTCAGGCTGACCTGCTGCCCCAGGCCTCCCCTCCTCTCCCAGCTGCTGGGCCGAAAGACACAAAGGAGCCTGCTACTCTTTGCAGTCCCCACTCTGTGTGAACAAAGGACACAGACTTGGTGAATCAGTATTTTCAATATTCTCTCTCCCTTTTTCTCTCCCTTCTCCCTTGTCTTCCCTCAGACCCAGCTAATTCAAAAAGGGAGCTAGAATAGACAATATGGGAAATTATACTGTGATGACAGCTAACACAACATGCTCCCAATGTACCAAGCTCTTTCCTAAATATATATCTCATGTAATCCTCACAGTTCACCAACAAGGCAAGTACTGTGAAGTAAAGGAGGCAGGCGCCATGAAGTAACTTGCCCAGAGTCATGGACCTAGGAGAGGCGGAGCTGGCATCTGCACCCAGCAGCCAGGCACAGCCCCAGGCCTAACTGCTGTCCTACTTCCCTTGGCCAGTCTGGCCTTTGAGGGAGGAGCATTTACGGAGCCCCTGGGAAGGTCTGAGGAATTCGGGTTAGGCTTACAGAACACACCTGTGACCTCCTGCTCACAAAGTCAGGGCTCAAATATCCTCCCAGCCCCAGGGCAGATGTAACTGGGGCTCATTAACTGGGAGGGTTGTGCCCTGCTGGGGAGCAGGGATGGGAGTAGGGCAGAGGAGGGCGCTGAGCCGCTGGCTGGACTTTTGTGCCCCTTGAGTTGAGCAGGGAAAGGTGCACAGGAGACAGCCCTGGGCCCTGTCCTGGGTTCTTGATAAGAAAGGTGTGAGGAAGTGTGGTGCCACCCTCGGCCCCGGCCCAAAGGTCTCCAAGCCCTTACCTTTGCAGGTCTTCCTGTCGGGCTGCAGCATGAACCCCACGGGGCAGCTGCAGTGGACGCCCGCTGCCGCATCGTGGCACTTACTGTCGCAGCCCCCGTTGTTGACAGCACAGGTCTCTGTTTAGGAGGGAGGTGAGGGGTGGTAATGGGGTTACCCGCCTAAGAGGCATCCCAACTTCAGGGTCGTAGAGACCACAGAGGACAGAGCCACCTCCCTGTGCTTTAGCTGGAGCATTAAGCGGAGGCTCGCAGCCACTTCCTCCCCTCACTCCCAACCCCCAGCTCTCACGGTGCAGCCAAGCAGTCCATCTCCCTGCCCCCTACTTGATTGAAACAAGGTGGACAGCAGTGAGGCAGGTACAAGCCAGAGCTGTCAGGCAGGAATGTGCGGGGGTGGGTGAGCAGGAGGGATGGGAGCTACGGGGTCACCCGGGAACAGGAGGGACAGAAGTTTCCTCCTCTTCCCACTGACGTGGCGGGTGAGTGGAGTCACAGTGGGACAGGCTCACTGGGGCAGGCTGGGAAGAGTGAGCCTGGGGGTCCCTAAGATAGCTGAGGGATGCTCCCACTTTATCTCCCCTCGCTCTTTGCCCAGCTGTACTAAGATCCCACTCTGGAACGGCTCAGGCTCCAAGGGGCCTGCACACTGGGTCATGTACCTTCACCTCCGCCCCGGCCCTCCCAGCTCCCAGAGGAGATGAGCTGACTCTTTGGTCACTGTTTTACTTTCCTAATGGGAGATAATGTGCAGGGGACAGCAGGGGCCAAAGGAGAAGAATGCAGAGCAGAGAGGGCTAGAAAAGGTAGGGGAGAGCGTTAGAGAACCCCAGAGCTAGACACAGCCGGAGGAGCCCTGTTTCACTGTCTCTTCTGTTGCTCCCTCCTGGCTGGTGGTAGTTTCCTTTGCTGAGAGGCCAGAAGGGAAGTATGCATGGGTCACTCTCCCTATTTTCTGAATTCAGAGCAGGAGAAAAACAGCTTTAGACAGCAGCTTGTAAGAGTCGGTCGGACAGGTCCAGGAAAACCAGCGGCTCAAATAGTGCAAGAACCTGACCCCAAGACTGGGAGGTGTTATAGACCCTTTTGTCTGGGATTCTTAGAGCTTTTCCCTCTAGAGAGAGAAAATCCCAAGGTGTCCGCAAGGGAAGAGAGGAGAGTGGTTCACAGAACTGGGGGAACTGATGAGAAAAGCACGGATGGTGCTGTCACCTTTAATCTCCACTCCTAACAAGTCCCACCCTTGTCGCCAGGACTCCAGAAGAAGCCTGGCCCTGTCTGTGGGCCCCAAGCTATGTCCTGGTCCCAGGCTCAGGAGCAGCCATTGTGGGATCCTCTATGTCATTCTTCCCTCAGCTATCCCAAGGTTTCCAAGACCACGAGGAACCCGGAAAGAACCTTGAGACCAAGCCCAGCTAGCCCCCAAGAGAGTTCTAAGAGGCCCACAAGGTCCTGGGAGAGGGTGGGGAACAGAGATCCTGTGCCATGGCTAGGTGGCTTCTGAAGGGTCCAGGATGGAGGCGGCAGATGTCCATCCCCACCCAGCTGGACCAGGAAGCTGGGCAGAGCTGTCCACCTCGTCAGGACAGTGTTCCTCAGAGCAGGGTGGCACAGCCTCACTGTTGACTCTCTAGGTCGCAGAATCGAAACCACAAGTCACCCTGAGCTAACTGTGCCAGTGCTTCCTACAGGCACCACATATGCTACCTCCGTCATCAGCACCTCGGGGAGGACTGTCATTCCCCTCACTTTACAGAAGAATGAACTGTGGATCAGAGAGGCCCTGAGGCTGTGTGGTTAGAGCCAGGCAGAGCCAAGCTTCAAGCTCGGGTCTGTCTGAACCCAAACGCCATGCTGTGGACCATGACGGAGCAGAGAAAGGCAAGTGATGCCAGGCTGTGACTGACGTGGGTGAGAACCCAGGAAAGATGCCCTAAGGAGGGGATGGCATCGAACCCCCATCTCCGGTGGCACAGTGGGCGAGATGCTGGGATGGAGCTGACTGGGTTTTAACTGTGTGATGAAGGGAGGGGAGAGGCTGAGGTGTTAGGAGGGCCGGGAGGAGGGAGCAGAGCCAGAGAGAGGGAAGAGAAGGCCAACATGAGGGCTCCCGGGCCAGCTCTTGGGGATTCAGGGTTCCTGTCACCCGACAGGCCCAGTGCCCAGGGGAGCACTGCCAGGCTGGGGCCCAGTCAGGCTGGGCTCGATGGGCATGCGGTTAGTGGGAGCCTCAGCAAGTTAGCCCTTCCCCTAGCAAGCCAGTGAGAGCAAGCGGAGAGAGCAGATATATTTACCATTAGAAACGGCCTGAGTGGGGATGTGCTGCTCTAGCCGCCTTTCCCCTGTTTGACATCGTAAAAAAGCTGTTTAGATGCCGGGCAGGAGCCAGTGTGGCCCGCTGGACCCTCCCACACCCTCCACCCTGCCGCCCAGACCACTAGCCCAAAATGGTGAGCCCAGGGAGCCCTAAGACACTGTCACTTCTCAGCCTTGTCCTGCCCGGAATCCTCAAAGAAGGCAAGGTCCCAGCAAGTGACTGAAAAAGTGAGTCTCACACAGGGACAGTTGTGGGCCCAAGACCACACAGCATGCCAAAGGCAAAGGTGGCATGCAGCATCAAATCTTCAAACAGCCAAGTCCCCAGCCTCAGTCTCCCCTGACATCTGAGTGTGCTGGTGGCCCCAGACAATGAAGTTTCTTCCTAGCAAAGGCTGGTGAGGAAAATGAGGTACAGGGCAGGCAAAGTAAGTGCTCCTGGAGCTGTGGAAGAGGAACCAGCAAAGGACACAGCTGTCAACCCCAGAACAGCCTCATCTGCTCTCCTCTGGCTCCCCTGGCCATGGCCCCGGAGGCAGAGTGGGTCCAGGATTAGAGAAGAGCTCCAGCTTAACAGGGTGCTTTCAGAAGCAGTCATGTCCAGGACCCTCTGGAGAGAAAGAAGCCGAGTGCCATCCGGGCCTCGTGTCCCTGGGCCCTAAGTGCTGTCCTGACTCATGCATCCTTTCTCTGGGGACCGCATGCAGTTCCCTCTGGCAGACTCGGGATGGGTAATGTGTCTGGCTGGTGGTGGGAGGTTTAGAAAGCAGAATTAGACCTCTGCGGGGAAAACGAAAGGAGCTGGGACAACCCAGGCTAGGGAGAGCAGCAAGAAGACCTCAACATGTTGGATGTTGGATGAGTTAACCGGGAGGGAAATGTGCAGCAGGAGGGGTTTCAGTGACAGAAGCACATATTAGTGTGTGCGCCGAGGGAGCCCCAGAAGAGCACTGTTGCCCCGTCCTGTGTCTCCCTGTCCCAGGCCTGTTCACGGCTCCCCTCCCCAGCCTGTAGGAGCGCCCCGAGAGACGGCCCCCCGTAAACACCTATGCCCACAGCAAGCTCACCCCTGCCTGGCTCAAGGCCCGGTCTTAGCCCCAGCCAGAGCTCCTCCCTTTCTTCTCCTGCTTCTCCAAGGGGACCCCTTGACCTGCTGTCTTCTCAGCACTAGAGACTGAGGGAGTAGGAGTCAGCTTTAAGGAATTAAGCTCATCCCCGGTACCTGGACACAGGTGAGGTTCGGCCTAGGACTTCTGGGAAAGGGATCCAGGTATTAAGAGGGCCCCAGACCCGGGCGAGAGCGATGGAAGGCTGCAGTGGGTGAGAAAAGGGCTCCAGGCGGAGCTGAGAACTGGAAGAGAGAGGGGGCAGGGTGGGGAGGAGCAGAGGACCTGCAGGAGGGTGAGGAGAGAAAGGATGGAGAGGAAGGAGGCACCTGGAGCTAGGAAACCCCATCTCAGCTCGGGGGCGGCGGTTCCCGAAAAGAGCTCTCTGCCCCACCTCCGGTTCCCGAATAGGGGGCCGTGGCAGCTCCCCTCTGACCAGGGAGAGGGGTCACTAGTCAACCAGGGCCTTTGGGCAGGGGTCGCCAGCTGCTTTCCCCAGCTCTCCCACCCCTGCTCCACCCCAGCCTTGGTCGACCAGCACATCTGCTAAGGATCCGTTCCCAACACTTTTCCGGGGAGGAAGAGGATGGTGAGGGTCCTGGGAGGGGTGGTGCTGGAAGCCACGGGGAAGAGGGCCACGTGGCCCTCGAGTCTCTCAGAGCTGCCCCTCGCCAGACCAGCCACTGTCGGGCTCTTCAACCCCTCACCAGGCACTGTCCAGCACCTGGGTCCGCAGTAGCCCCCAGTCCCCTGGGGCCTCCACCGCCCTCCCCATCACAGGTGGACCGAGTTCTCCCCTGCCTCACCCACCGATGCACGTCTTCCCGTCGGTGTGGAGCACAAACTTGACGTGGCAGCCACAGCGGGGACCCTGCTCTGTGTCGTCGCACGTGTGCTGGCAGCCACCGTTACCATAGTTGCATGTCACTATGCACAGAGAGGGCAGGAGGCCTGTCAGCTTGCTTCTGCTGGGTACCAGTTCCCCGCCACATGGGAACAGCCCTCCTTCCTAGTTGCCTCTCCCACCTTCTTCCCTCCTAGCTCTGACTTGCTGCTGGGGTCCTACATCCTTTCCTCTTCATTTCCCCCGCCCACCACTGCCAGCCCAGTGATCTCTCACATTTACAGTCCCGCTGGTTCTTGGTGAGCTCGAAGCCAGGGCGGCATTCACAGGCAATACCCCCTTTGGGGGTCTCCCGGCAAATGTGAGCACAGCCATGGTTCTTGTTCATGCAGTTCATTCCTTCTAAAAGAGAAGAGGAGAAGGGTGAGTGTTCTGTACCCCTGGATGCCTGCTCTGGGTGGAACTAGAATGGGATGTTGGAGGCTTAGGAAATTAGCGTTCTACTGATGCTGTGACACAGAGGGGACCGTGTCTTCCCGTCACAGGCCTCCTGCCTTGCCCACAGACCTGGATGCGAAGGAGCAGAGCTCAGAGCAGTTCCCAACAGGGTGTTAATAAGTACTAACAGCCACCCCAAAGAACATCTCCATGATCTCTCTGTCCTTCACACAACCAGTGTCTCTCTAATAGTCGACAGCCCTGTGCTAGGGACTCAGGGGATTTAGAAAGGACCCACTTCACTTCCCTCAAAGGAGTTACACTCAACCTGGGAAGATACATAAGAATCAGATCTATAATGTGAGTGGCAAGTGGTTGGTATAGATAATTACTTTGCCACAAACATTTATGAAGCTCCCGTTCCATGCAGGGCAGTATATTAGGTGCGGGAGACACAAGAGGCATTAAGACATAGTTCCTGCCCTCAGGATGTCACCGTCCAGTGTGTATGTGTGTGGGGGGGGTGAGCCACAGAAACAGGCAAAATATATTCTGCTCTTCCTGCCCAACGCCCCAGTCCAGGCCAAGGAAGGCTTTGGTGAGCAGCAGCTTGGAGAAACTCAAATACCTACATTTAGGAATGAGATCTGCCTCGGGTCTGGGCCAGAGCTCACCCCAAAGGAGCCTCGATCCCGTAATGACCCTAACCCCAAATGAATTCCCTCAGCCTTTTCTCTAATACAGTGTCTGTCCATGAACCCCTAAGGGTGTGACTGAGTTGAGGGACAGAGGGGCAGCTGGCAGGATTGAAAAGGAAGAATGAAATTTAGGGGGTACTGAAGAACAGTTAGGTAGAAGCCGCGCTGGGGGCAGAGCCTTCCAGGCCATGGGCTGACCTTCTGGCCGCTGGATACAGGTGTGCTGGTTGTCGCTGAGGAAGAACCCTTCTCGGCAGTGGCACTCGTAACTGCCCATCATATTGACACAACTCTGCTGACAGCCGCCGTTGCCCTCGGCGCATTCATCCACATCTGTGCAGGACAGGTGGTCAGCGGGGCCACGGAGTGCAGCCCAGGGTCCAAGTTGTGCCCTGGACTTCAGCAGCCAGGGCTGAGGGAGTCCTGAAGACGCAACCCCGTTCCTCACCTAGACCAGGAAGTTCTCACCCCTTTGTCAACTAATACGGCCCTGAGAGGGAGCTGGGAACCAAGCAAGTGTGTACGGTTGGGGGATTGAACCTTGCTCCCCTGGGCGAAGCCTCACCTCCCTCTCTCTCACCGCGGGCAGAGGTCAGGAAAGGGAAGAGGACCAGTGATGGAGATAAGGATGGAGATCGGTCACACCGGTCAGGGAGGTGACCAGGGGAAGCAGCCGGTTGGGATAAGTCGGCAGGAAATGGGGGAACGTGCAAATGGTTCTGTGTTCGGGACGAGCTATAGCCATGGTACCAAGATTGAGAGGAGCGTGGGGTGAGGTAGTGAACCTCAACTCCTTGTGGGGCTGGGGCCATTTCCGTGGCCAGGCCACAGCCCTGTCTGTCCCTTCCCCCCGCCTGGGCTTGCTGCCATGTGCCTTAGTCTTTCTCCTATTTTGGTTTAACAAAACAACTCTGGCAGCCTGGCAAGGAGGGATGGAGGAAGAGCTCCAGGCCACACCCTGGATGGGTGGGGGAGCAGCAGGCTCTTACCCCCAATCACCACCCCATGGCCCAGAGCCGAGCTCATCCTGGGGCTCCCGCTTCAAGGCCCTGACTCCATCTCCGTGCAAGCTGCTGGTTCCCAACTCCCAGGCCTTCTCAGTCTGCCTTGGTCCCGGAGGCATCAGGGAGATTGCATACCAAGTGGAGCAGCTAGAATCTGGGCTTCCGGGGGCTCATCTGTCCCTCCCTCCCCATCCTCTGCTGAGGCCCGCACTCTCCCCTGCCCTCTGGCCAAGGGCAGAGCCCCTCATCCAGCTGGCTCTGGCCTGAGAGATGCACCTGTCGCAAAGCTGAGACAGCACACTTCCCTCTCCTTTGTTCTTGTCTCCGCCCCATCCTACACTCCATCCTGCTTGCTCCCTTTCTTCCCGTCTTGTGGCTTTGTTACTCTAGCCAAGTTCTTTCCTTCAACTTTCTGGAGAAAACTGAGCCTCAGGGGATGATCAGCTTAAGGTTCCCCTGAGAAAAAAAGCACAGTTGAGGCTTTGCCCTAACCCTAGACAGACCCTCTGGATTCCTGGTCATTTTCTTGTCCCTCTGATTAGTCCTTCCCAAAACACTTATAGGGAAAAGAGAATGCATGAGGGCCAGGGGCTTGGAACGGGAGCCAAAGCACTTGGAAGCTGATGTTCCAATTCTGTCAGCAGCTCACGCTCCTCTCCAGGTGTCACAGCTTCTCTTCCCAAAGGAGGTCATCAGGGGTGAGCGGGTAGAGGCGAGCAGAAAGGAGGCCCTGCTCCAGGGGCTGGAGTGGTGGCCAGGGCTGGGGTGGGAGGAAAGGCCTAGAGCCAGTTCAAGGATGGGGTGACAGGTAGAGGCAGCCTACAGTAAGGAAGCCGTTTGAGGTCAGCAGGAGCTAAACACCTAAATTGTGTGTTTAGTCAGGTCGGAGTGGGGCCCAGTGCAGCCCACTTTCTGGGCATCACGCTTCTCTTCCTCTCCTGTTCTATGCTTTGGTTCCCTATATCTATTTTGGAACCAAAGAGAGAGAGTCTGGGAGAGGGCCCATGGGTTCAGATCTCAAATCCTTTTCTGCCATGGGCTTCAGGTGTTCTGCTTGGAGGAGTCTCACTTGGTCTCAGTAACCTTTCAAAATGACAGAGGCCAAAGGTGAGTTCAGTTCCCTGGAGATTCTGTCTCCGATGCAGCTCCTGGGGCAAAGCAGAGCAGGTCAGACTGAGGCCTCAGAAGCAAGGGAGGGTGACATGGAGAGAGGAGAAGTTGGGAGAAAACCCTCTGTAGGACCAGGGGCTCCAGGGGCCCAGGGGGCATCATCATCATCTTCAGCAGCAACATTCCTCCCTTCATGGAGCACCTGCTATGTGCTCGGGAGTGTGCAGGGCTCTTACACACGTTCTCTCTGACATCTGCCCAGCAGCCTCGAGTGGAATGTTAGAGACGAGGAAACTGAGATTCCCAGAGACTCATTCATTTTCCCAAGGCTCTGCAGCTACAGAGCCAGGATTTATCTGGACCCACTGTGCTCTACCCACTCTGGCCAGACCGTTACTCTTCTCTCCTGGCCCTCTCCCAGGACAACTCCCCACCGCCATCGCCTCTGCTGTTCTCCTGGCAGCAGGACTAGCACGCCTTCGTGGCCAGTCCCGAAGAGGAGGCTGACCTTACTCTCTGGAGGGAATGCAGCTCTTTGTGGTCACTTCCCCCCTTGCCGGGGGTACTGAAGACACCTCTTTCCCTACAAGGTGGCCACTCACCAACCCTCGCTCACCCAAACAGTTGTGCCCATCGTGTGCCAGGTGGAATCCATCATAGCAGGTGCATCGGTAGTTACCAGGGATGTTGACACAGTCATGCACACAGCCTGCACTGTCCTCTCGCTCACACTCATCCACATCTGTGGGCAAAGAGAAGCTGAGACAGCCATAGGCACCCGCATGCCCCCAACGGCTGGCCGGGCCTGGGCTCAGCCTTGTGGTTGGTCTGGTTTTTTGTAGTGTTGGGGAATGAACCTGGGGCCTGTGCATGCTAGGCCAGTACTCTAACACTGAGCCACACCCCAGGCTCCTTGTGGTTACTTAAAAATATATGTATCACCTACCCAGTCATGGTGACACATGCTTATAATTCCAGAATTGTGGGAGGCTGAGGCACGAGGATTGCAAGGTTGAGCCCAGCCTGGACACCTTAGTGACTTAGTGAGACCCTGTCTCAAAATAAAAGGATTGGAAATGTAGCTTAGTATGGAGGCCCTGGGTTTAATCCCCAGTATCTTCCTGACTCAGCCTCCTGAGTGCTGGGATTACAGGCTTACGGCACAATAATTAGCTGGTTAATTTTCATCTAAACCTAAGTTATAAGCATTTTATATGTCTCTGTGCAGTCTTTCTAATTACCAGCGTCCCTGGCCACAGAATATTCCATTGTGTTGCTATATCATAATTTGTTAGACCCCTTTCTCTATTGCTGAGCACTTAAATTTCTTTCACTTACTTTACTATCATAAATAATGCATCAAAGAACATTGTCATTCATACTGTTCCACTGAATTTTCTTTGAGTAAGTCTCCAAGAGCAAAAATCTTTGGGTCAAAACTTATAAATACCTTTTATGATTACTGCTAGGTATTACAAAACTATAGTCAGCCTTCCAGTCTTGGGTTCCGTATCCACAGAGTCAACCAATGTGGATCAAAAATCGTCAAAGAAGGGGCCAGTGATTTAGCTCAGTGGCACTGTGCCTGCCTCGCAAGCACAAGGTCCTAAGTTCAAACCCAAAACAACAAAAAAGTCAAAGAAAAAATTCTATTGGTACAGATTTTTTTGGTTACTGTTCCCTAAACAATGTAATATAACAGCTATTTACTGACATGGCATTCACACTGTACTAGGTTTATAAGTAATCCAGAGATGATTTAAAGTGTATATAGGAGGATCATATGGGGTTTTTTGGGGTTTTTTTTTTAGTACCGGGGATAGAACTCAGGTCTTTGCCCATCACTGAGCTAAGTCCCAGGGCCAATCATATGGTTTTTATGCAAATAACCATGCCATTTTATATAAGGGACTTGACATCCTTGAATTGTGGTACCCTTGGAAGATCTTAAAACCAATCCCACTCAAATACTGAGGGATAACTATATTTTCCCATTCATAACGGCCATCAGGAATTAGTAAATGTACCTTGTCCACTGAAGTCTCATCAATACTGACGGCCGTAAATTTAAAACAATATCCCAGGGCTATTCTAGTTTGCATCACTTATGAGGGGAATATGTGTTTGTTTACAGTGTGAATTTCCCCTGGGGTACCGGTCTGTCCCTGTCTTTTGTCGGCACAGTATAAGGGTCTCAAGGTGGAAGTTCCAGCTCCAGGAACCACAGGCCTTAGTCACATGACTCTGACTCATCTTCCCAGTCGGTTGTGTGGCTGTGGAACTGTTCCTACCAGGGTCTCTGGGAGTCCATATGGTCCCAGTGCAAGACAGAACAAGGTGCCCTCTCTGAGAAGATGTAGCTGCCCATGCTCGGTCAGTGGGGATCTCAGGCCTAAGGGTAATGCAGTGTGGCCAGCTGGGGCCAGTGACACTGGTTTCCCCTCTCCTGGAGGTCCCGCTTCTCTGGATACCCTCCCAGCCTCACCTTTGCAGTGTTTGCCATCCCCTGTGTAGCCCGACTTGCAGATGCACTTGTATGACCGAGGGGTGTTCTGGCAGATAGCATCGATGTGGCAGTTGTCAGTCCCCTCCACACACTCATCCACATCTGGCAGGGGCAGAGGGAGACACATGAGACCCTCAGGGGTACCCCTTGAGGAGTACCCTGAAGGTGGGTTTCCCAAGAGCAAAATCCCCTCTTCCGGAAGACAGAGCCGACACCCCTTCTGGATGTGTTCTCCCGTGTCAGTCAGATTTCAGAGAAGGAAGACTCTGTAACTCCAGGAACTCAGAAAGAACCCCTCCCCCGCCTTCAAAAACACGTAATGCACGTGACAGCTAACCCCTGTCATCTGAAATACTCCTCTTGCACTTGAAGATAAACAAAAAAACCCTTAGACACGGAACATGATTAGGAATAATCAACCCAGTGTGAACTGGTTTACTGTTCTTAGGAGCAGGCTTAGCAGGAGGGGGTGCCAAAAGGCACAGGGACAGCAGCCACTGTGAAGGGGACAATGTCCAGTGGTCACTGGTGAAGAAAGGGTGACAGGGCACCTGAGGGATTCTCATCTGCCTCGTGAGTCTGCTTTAGACCCCCTCTGCTCCCACTTGCCCACCATGGCAGCAAGAAGCTTTAGAGGAAAGACGTTTCAGCCTGGAACATTCCTTTGGCCTTTGTGCCATCAACAGCAGAGGACCTGGAGCCGGCAGTTTGGCACTGGCAACCTGAAGCCTGGTAAGAGCAGCCCTCTCGCCTCTCCAGGTCCCCTCACCACCCTTAGTCTTTTGCTCTAACCTAAGTGTGTGTCTGACCACAGGCACCACACACACAGAGCTACGTCAAAGGAAGAGGCCCCCCCAGATCTGGCAAAAATGAGGACAGTTAAGAAAAGACCTAGGAAAGAGTCTTTGGCAAAAAGAGTCCAACCTCTGGCCATACTACGGTGCCTGCAAAGCCGCAGTGAAAGAGGGGAGACTGCTTCATCGAGTTGAAAATGCTTCGCTGAGTTGCTTGTGGTTGGCATTATACTGGGTGCTGTGGAGGCGCCCAGGAGACTCAGCCGAGCCAAAAGGACAGAGGAGAAACACGAAGCAGGATGCAGTGTGCGCCACAAGGCACTGCAGATAAGGCGAGGGGCCTCAGCCCTGACACACATCAGAGTCAGCTCCCCTGGGCGATGTCCCAGCCCCCAGATCCCCGCGGTAAGTGTTCTTCTAAAGATACCAGATAACTGCAATGTGCAGCCAGGTTCGAGAACCTGAGTTACAGGGAAGGGCCAAGGAGGAAGAGATTATTTCTACCTGTGAACTAGGAAACCAAAGATAGTGCATAAGTAGCAGTCTGCCATAAGAGATGGGATTTGCAAGCAAGACAGTCTGACTTCCAACTATGATCTGTGGGCTGCAAAACTGCATGCGTTTTGTTTAAATGCAGATTCTCAGGCCTTATTGTGGATCTACTGAATCTAAATCCTTAAGGTGCTCAACATATTTTTATTTTTGGTACAGGGGATTGAACTTGGGTCCTTGCACTTTCGAGGCACATGACGGAACCACTGAGCTAAATCCCAGGCCTCAACATATTTTTAGACAGTGAATGGATGGACAGTAATCTCTCCAACTTAGATATGGATTGCTAGACTGGCTCCAAGCAATTTCCTAGCCTCTGCTTTCATTCTTAAGGAGAAAAAAGAAAGAAGTATTTAGGGGCAGATGTGAAGAACTGAAGCCTGGAAGAGGGCCTCCAAAGACCCCGCCTCAGATCTTCTGGGCGTCTACTCAGCTCTTCGATCCTCCCTTCCTCTCTCTCCTGCTGTGTAGCCATCCACCATGCCCAGTGACTCTAAGTGCCGGGAGCCCATCTGCACTTACTCTCCTCCTGGGTCAGCTCCACAGTCTCGGTGTCTGTCTGCCGGCCACCCTGGGAAGTCATCCCCAAGTGAGAGAACGGAGGAGAGCGGGCCCTAGCTTATAAGCGAGGGCAAGAGGGACCTTGCAGGTGGTACGAAGCTACATGGAGAATCAGTTTGTCAAACTGATGGAGAGAAAACAGAACCCAGAATGTACTACCATAGAAAGATCATAAACACTGGAACCAGACAGTCCCAGAGTAAGATCCAGTTCTGCTACTCTCTAGGGAAGGCTTTCTTATTTTTTATCTCCTCCCTTTTCAAATGGGGTTGATGATACATCCTCGTGACAGGCTGTGGGCAGTTGATGAATTAATTTATGTGAAGTACTTCATGAAATGTCTGATGGACCAGAAGGTCCCAGTACAGGAACCCTGAGATAGTAAGTATGAAATCACTGGCTCAGACAACAGATGTTCTGGGACCAGGCTGTCTGCTATGGTGGCCACCAGTCCCAAGTCCTAATTAACTTAAAATTCAGCTCCTCAGTTGCACTAGCCACAGCCCAGGGGCCACCACAGTGGACAGCACCAATATGAAACATCACACAAAGTTCTACTGGACAGCATTGCTCTAGGAGTTCTGAAGAAGGGTTACCCTGGGCCCAGCGACAAAGGGGCCAGGGCAGACCTGACGGTGCTTCCCTGGAGCCTCTGTCAGGCTCTCTGGGCCCCCAGTTCTTTGCTTTGTCTCCCAGTCTAAGCTCACCAGTACTAGAGTGAAATGTGATGCAGATCACAGCAAACCCAAGCTCCCTGGCAGAGCCCCTCCAGCAGCCGGCCTTCTCCCATCTTTGTGCCCAGTGCTTGTCTCACATTATCTAACCATTCTATTCCTCCTCACACATTCATTCTTCACATTCACACTGGAGATGGTATTCCTCTCTCCTCTTCCAGCCACACTGCACTCTGCTTTCTCAGTCTGGCTCAAAATTGTCTTCTCTAAAGCTTATCCTGGTGAGCCTTCTTCCTGGCAAGTCGGTGGTCCTGGGGATTCAGCTTGCCTCCGCCCATCTGCAACTCTTTTTTAGTTGCTCTGCTAATATACTCTGAAGCTGTCTCTGGTAACACTTTCTTCACTTGCCTGGGAACTTGCTATCTTTTGCAGCAAAACGGGCCTAAGGCAGAACTATGATAGGGCAACGAATTATAGCCAGCACCTCCTCCTTTTGCTAGTTCACTGTTGCAGAGCTCCCTCCCACCAGGCCTGCCAGCCCAGAATTTGTTCTCGCAGGGATCTGTGCAGTACTCACAGGCAAAACCTCATCTCAGCCTGTCCTCTCGGGCAGGGCACAGGTGTTCACGAGCTGGCAAATCAACTGATACTGCTGGGCACGAACTGGATTAGCCCTGTGGCTCTCAACTCTGACTGCACAGTGGACTCGCTGGGGACCTTTGAAAAATGTAAATATCTAGGTCCTGCTAGACCCATTCAAACAGGGTCTCCACGGAGAGGCTGGGCTGCTGTTTCTCCCCTCTTCCCAACTCAGGTAATGTGGGTGAACTATTTGCCCAAGCTGGGAGGAGACTCTGGGGGAGCAACATGACAAAGCAGTTGAGAAGGGCTTCTGGAGTAACAGTGCCAGCCTCTGAGCTCACTGCCCCTCCTCCCTACATGGGAATAACAATCATTAGACCCCCACGGGATGCCGTGAGAATCAGGTGAGTTAATATCCCAAGGACCTAGAGCCACTCTGTGGCCATGCAGTAAGTGCTCAGTAAGGGCTTGCTACTATTTTATTCGGTCTCTAACTTTCCCTCCGGTATCCCAATTACATATTGGATGCTCACATCACACTGAACTCAGTGCTGTAAGCTCCTTGAGGCCACGGCTTCTCAATCTTTGAAATCCACACTGCAGTGGGAATAGAGTTGAAGCTGGGTGTGGTGGCGCATGCCAGTAACCCCAGTACTTGGGAGGCTGAGACAGAAGGATCGCTGTGAGTTTGAGCCCAGCCTAGACAACTTAGTGAATTCAAGGCAAGCGTGAACTACATAGCAAGTTGTCTCCAAAAACAAAAAAATGGGAATACAGTTGAACATACTTCTTTCACCAGTCAACAGTTATCGAGCACCTGCAATATGTCCAGCACTGTGCCAGGGGCCGGGGGTGTAGCAGACAAAGGATCCACTGAAGGCATGGTGTAAACGTTTGTAACACAGGTGAGTGGGTGGATGAGATCGATGTCTGTAGCATCAGCTCGGCAAAAGCTTGCTTCTTCACTCACCCGTGATCTCATAACTGTTTGGGTTGCAGGATGGTCAAAGAAGGAAGACAAGAAACTCAAAGGAGACGAGTACCCACTTCAAGGCATCCACTGATGGATCCTGGGGCGAGAAGAGTCTGGGGACAATGAATCAAAGACCCGCAGGTTCTTCAGATGTCATCTGGCAGGGCTGCGGGCATCCCTCATTAAGTAGGCAAGGAGCCTAAAACCCAGCGAAGTTATCTTGGGAAGAGCAAATAGCTAGCATAGGGCAAGGGCGTGGGTTTTTGGTCCCAGTCCACGGCTCTCTCGCTACCCACTGTCTCCCAGATTCTGGTAATGGTCCCCAAGTTTTGGGGCATCAAAGGCTGGTTTCATGGAAGAAAATTTTTCCAGTGACAAATGTGGGAGGACCATTTCGGGATTAGATTCTCATGGAACACACAACCTAGATCCTTCATGTGTGCAGTTCACAGGAGGGTTCGTGCTCCCGTGAGAATCTTCTCACGCTGATCTGACCAAGGCAGAGCTCAGTCACTGGGGCCTGGGATGGACAGTCTATAAATACAGAGGAAGCTCCTCTCCCTCACTAGCTTGTCCGCCACCCACCTCCTGCTGTGTGGCCACAGGCTGCCTAGGGGTCGGGGACCCGTGTCACTAAAGCATCCCATGCAGAACCAGGGAGGGATGGAACTGAAACCTGTGTGACTCCACAGATGTTCCAAGGCTCAGGCACAGGAGCAGCAAAAGAGGAGCATAGAGTGGAGGAGTGGGGAGGGAAGGGGAAGACAGGGTTGAAGGAAAGAAGAGGTGGGAGGCGCAGCAGTGGCAGGTGTCGCCTGCCCCTGGATTCACTACAGAAGGGCCAAGCAGCTGGTGAGAAACAAAAACAAACACCAGCATGCAGGTTCCTGCTGTTAACAGCTTCAAACCACCAGAGGAAAACTCCAAATAAATATAATTAGAATCTTGTAAAAACCTCCTCTCTGT